TTCCTGACATAGGAGAGCTGGCAAGACAAGCTGGTCTTGTGCTAAAATTTTGTGGTCATCTGCATTGATCCAGAGCTGTTGGCCAGTGGGACCCAAGCTGTGCTTGGATGGAAGGTGTTTCCTCCTTCGCTCCCCCAAATGCTGCAGGCATGAACAGCATGGGCAACACCCCCTGCACTTGTTCTGCCTAAAGCACCAGCTGGGTTTGACCTGCATCCTAAAACTGTCTGACACACCAGACACACTGGTCCATTTAAGACCACCTTTTTAACTGATGGAGGGACTAAATAAGAATTAAATGTTCTGTGCTGCTTGTGAGAAAATAAACTTGTAGCCTCTGTATACAATTATGGCTGGCTAACCATCCCTGCTGCAGTACACCTCCTTTGCTTTGGCTAGCTCTACTCTTTTATTATTATTCCTTCTAAACTCAGACACACAGAAGAAACACATTTTTTTAAGAAAAGGTGAGGTGTGAGGTTTTTGTTTCAGAATGACTGTAATAACTTTTATTTTTTACTTCAATTCCTAATTCCTCCAGCTCCCTTTTGTGGGTTTCATTATTCCACCTCCACAACAGCCACCGCTGCCGGAGGTATCTGCGGGGGCACTTTGGGAAGAGCCGCTCCCAAGGGCTGCTTTTGGGCGAGGTGGTTTTGGTGGCGGCGCGGGTGTGGCGGTGTCCCCTGCCCAGCGCTGTGGTGCCATCGCGTGGCCGTTCGTCCAGAGCACAAAACCCTGCGTGTTCCTCTGGGAACAGTGGAGCTGCTTGGGTTTTCTTCTTCTTTTTTTTCTTCTTCTTTTTTTTTTTTTTTCTTTTTTCTTTTTTTTTCTTTTCCCCCTCTGTAGGAGTGTCTTGGCCCCCTCTTGGGCACAAAGCTGTTGACTGCTTGTTGGACCTGCATCCCTAAAACCTGGACACCTGTCCTGTTTTATGGGAGGCAGTGGACATACCTTGGAATAACCTTGCACCTAAAAGAGGGATCTGGATTCACTGTTGCTTCCCAGCACATCCCGTGGGGTGGTGTATCCCAGGGGGGTCAGGAGTGCTTCTGCTTTTTTGTCTGCAGAGGAGCAAGTGATACCTGGTACCTACACACAGCCAGGTTTGGGTATGAATCACAATATATAATGCTTGAAGAAAAGTCTTTTCCAAGAGAAAGCCCCTGTCAGAATCCAGCTTGCAGTTTGCCTGAATATGTTGCTCTTTGCCAGCAACAGCAGTAGCTCAGTCCCCCAGTTTCTATCTCAGCAGCACTGCCAAAGGGCCACAGTCCTGTGAAATGGCTGCATGCAGCACACCAAGCATCCCCATTTTTCCTAGAGTCATGGGAACAGGACAGCTTTGCTGCACCTTGCCTGCCCTGGAGCATAACAGTCATTTCCCACTCCAACAGGTGTCTGCTAAGCCTAGGACACCAACAGTGCAGTGGAGTGGTGGATAACCATGGAAGAGCCTAAGAATACAAGGATAAAATTATCTGAGCCCAGAGGAAGGGCTGTAAGGTCCTCAGAGGCCTGAGGCACCTCTGCTATGAGGACAGGCTGAGACAATTGGGGTTGTTTAGCCTGGAGAAAGGAAGGCTCCAAGGAGACTTTACAGCACCTCTGCTACCTCAAGGGGCTATAAAAGAGCTGGAGAGGGACACAAGAACACGTGGTGATAGGACAAAAACATCTTAACTGTGAGGATGGTGGGGCACTGGAAGTGGTTGCCCAAAGAACCTGTGGCTGCACCATCCCTGGAAGTGTTCAAGATCAGGTTCGATCAGTCATGAAGCAGCCTGGTCTAGTTAGAGGTGTCCCTATCCATAGCAGGGGGGTTGAAAAGAGATGATATTTAGCAGTGCTTTTCAAGCCAAACCACTCTGCTCTCTACTTGTAGTTAATACCTTCCCGACCTTAAGGAGTCACCTGGTGCCCCACCATTTTCAGGCTGATGGATGTGACAATCTGCTGTCAGCTCACGTATTCCTCTCCTTTGCACTGTCCCCACTGCAGGTGGGTCCTCACCTGGGAATTTTCACCCAGCACTTAGTCACATCCCAGCTGACAAAAGCTGAGGCAGAGGCAGGTCACAGGTGACACTGTGAAGCAGGCTGGTGTTTGAGAGTCTTCCTGCTCAGTGTTTCTAATTCAGCAGGCAGCTCTGCTTGTAAACAGATCACTTAGATATCTAACACCAGGTGACTGGCAGGCAGTTAATGCAGAGCCCCGTGGTGGTCCTTGGGTTTATAAAGCCTGGGAAGCTCAGAAATCCAAGTCTGCCCTCAGCAGATGAAACCTCTGATGGATATCTAACACCAGGTGACTGGCAGACAGTTAATGCAGAGCCCCGTGATGGTCCTTGGGTTTGTAAACCTGGGAAGCTCAGAAATCCAAGTCTGCCCTCAGCAGATGAAACCTCTGATGGCACATCCTTTGCTTGCTCAGCTGGGATGGATCAGGACAGCCTTGGACAAGAGCTGTCCTTTCCAGGCTGGGCAAGGCCAGGAGCTGGAACAAACTGCTGGAGTGTTTACACAGGATGCTGTGTTCTTGGGAGAAGCATCATTGCTCCTGTCTCTGCCCTGTAAGCTCTGAGGGTGGGGGGCACTGTCTGGTTTGTCTGGGGACACAAGGTCTGCCAACTATGGAAGAGCAACAAAACTGACAAGATCAGGGCCCTGTGCCAGCCTAGGACATTGCTTTTGATAAAGCATGATACTGCTTTTTATTTTCGGTGAACCAACTAGCAAAAACATTTAATCTCAATGGAGACAGGCCCAGGCAGGTCAGGAGTTTATGAATTTGTCTGTTTGTACTTTTCTGCCCTGAAGTGACATTAGATTTTCCCCATCAGAAATGTACTTCCAGCTTGCCCAGCTGCTAAAATGGTTGAGAGGAAAGCAGCCTGTCTCATCTCTCACCTGGGCTCTGGTAGCTCACCCAGAAAGGGGGCTCTGAGGGCACAGGAATGGCTTTGATGCACAATTTCCTTTTCTCTTCCACGTGTTAGGCTGAAACTGACAGTGAAAGTGCTGCCACATCCAGTTCTGAACTGCTTTTCCAGTGTGTACATGGGTTCTGTAGCTGCTCAGCAATGTGTGATTTGGTTCTGGGACTGGGGAGTGTGGGAAAGCTCCCCACTAAGCAGGGGGTGCAGCTTGTGGGATGGAGGGGACTGGTCTGCTGCCAGCTTCCCTGGCAGGATAAATCTCACTGGGGAATTGCTGGCAGTGTTTTACAGTGCAGAGAGCTGCTCCGTCCTCAAATGCTGCTCCTGCAGAAGTTGTCTCTCACTGCAGAGCCTCAGCTCACTGAGAGTGGATGGCCCTGCACAGCTCTGGGTGGAACTGGTTCTTTACACAGACTGAGATCAAACATCCTGTGCAAAGGCTTGTACAGCCTGCAAAGCCACGCAGAGCCATGTCACTTTGAGAGCTCTCCTGCCTTCAGGGAAGGGGCAGCACCCAACCCAGCCCTGCCTTGTCCAGAACCGCTGGGCAGCGTCTCTGAGGGGCTGCCAGGGCTCAGTCCTTGAGCCTGATGTCTTGCTTGTGATCACTTTGGCAGTCATCAGTTCAGGTTAAGGTTCTGTCTGACAGCGTTGGAGCCAGCTGGTCACAGTCTGACCTGCACCCACCTATAGCATAAAGAGGCACTCCTGGCACAGGGAACGATTGGCATCTGACTCCATTGATCCAGAATGCTGAACAACTGCTTTATTAAAACTATAATATATTACATTAATACTGTATTATAACTATACTAAAGAGGTACTATAGTATACTATACAAAAGATACTAAAGAAAAACTCGTGACTGTCTAAGACAGTCAGGACACAGCTTTGAGCCAATTGGCCAAGAAGCAAAACAATCCTCAGCAGAATCCAACTGACAAATCAGTTCAGGTAAACAATCTTCCTAACACATTCCACATGTGAAAAAACAGGAGCAGCAAGTAGAAATAAGAATTGTTTTCTCTTCTTCTCTCTGTGCTTCTCCAGGAAAAGCCCTGAGAGAGAATGATGTCTCTCTCTGTTCAGAGAATGCAAATGCCACACCCACCCAAACTGGTGATACCACAGTGGAGGAGGCTGCCCTGTCTCTGTGCTCCTACCATGAAGCAGGATGGTTGGGCAGACTGTCACTGCCAGAGACAGGAGGACAAGAAAGTGTCCCTGGCCCAAACTGACCCCACCTGGGCCACTGTGAGGAAAGCCTGAGGGTTTGTGTCAGAGCAGGCTACTTTTGGCTCATCATGTTGGGCCCTGTTGAGGATCCTGGAGCACAAGGGGCACGAGCAGTGCATGGCAGTGCTTGGTCTCACTGAATGTGCAGCTGTGGGGCTGTGTGTGGAGCATCCACAATCCTGTATGAGTAGCCCTCTGCTCCCTCAGTTTGGGCAAAGAGGTGACATGCGAGATGTGGCATTCAGCTGAATGCTAAAGGAAATCCTCTCACAGCAGGGGCTTGGCAATGCTGATTGCTGAACAGTAGGGACAGAGGGAAAGGGGGATCTTTCAAAGCAGGGCTGCAAGGTGAGGAACTCATGGGGACATCTGTGTCCTCAGGTGTGCCAGCAGGCCGTGCAGACACTGGAACACACGGAAAATGGGGTGAGGCCCCATTAAACTTAATGCTCTCACCTCAAAATCATCATCACCAGGATCGATGAGCTTGATCCTGATAACAACTTGATGCATCAAGCAGGACACCATAGGGGCAATGGGGGAGGGAGGGGGAGTGAAATCCTGGTTGGGAAAGCTCTGTGCTCCCCAGAGGCCGAGTTCTGGTTGCAGCATGGTTGGCCCCAGTTAAAATAGGAAGTCTTCTGGGGTTGTTTTTCTTGTTTCTTTTCTCTCAGGAAATCCCGTGGGTCTAAAAAAATGAAATCCTCTCACTTGACGAGGTCACGGGGGGCTGGCCCGCAGCCAGGCTGGGTTCCCATGCTGCTCTGCCCGTTCCTTCCCATCAGTTCCTCCAGAACACTCCTCACACGGATTTCTGCAGCTCTGGGAGGGCAGATCTGCTCCTCTGCATGCCTGCTGGGTGCTCTGCTCTGAGGAGGCCGCATCGTCTCAGACCTGTTGCAGTCTCCAAATATAAAGCAAATATAAACCCCCCTTTGTTGGGGTGAGGTTGACTTGACTGAGCCACATGATCAGTCAGGTGACAAAATTGGGCACCAAAGCGGAGGAGAATGAGCAGCTGGGTGAGGGCATTAGCTGCTGATCTTGCCTCTTGACAGGCTGTGTTACTCCTCAGGGAAAAATGAGTGCCTGGCTGTGTCCTCTGCTGTGGACTTTAACCATGGTGTGCTTAACAGGTAAGGCCTCCTGACAGAGGGTTTCTCTTCACTGGCTGAGCACAGAGGGGGGTGAAGCCATAGTGGGACTGTGGGAACCCTGGGCCTCACCCTGGGGGGAGGCAGGGAAGGAGGGAAGTGTTGAAACACAGGCAGTGGTGGAAGTGGGATGCATGCGGTAAATACAAAAATTTGCTTTTACAGGAAGAAAAGACAAGAAAAAAAGAAATAGAGCTGTATTACTCTGCATAGTAAGGATTTGCAGAGGCTTTATCTTAAACCACAAGGAGCAGGATGCCTGTTGGTAGGCTGGGAAAGATCAGCTCTCTATCCTTCCCTGACTTCCTCAAGGCTCCTGTTTGTACCAGGGCGTCACATGCAAAATAACACATCCTTCAAGTTTCCCTGGAGATACTTCAGGTGATTCACAGTGCTCCTTAAAAAAAACCAACATCAAACCAACCAAAAAAGGCTCTAGAAAGCAAAATCGCTGTTCCATGACATAGACAGTGTAATGCAGAGGAGAAAATGCTTTGTCTGATGAAGCTGAGGTTGTTTGAGTACTGGTTTTTCACAGCTGTGACTGACTATAACTGGTAAAATACACAAACACTTAACTAGTGCTCAAAACTATTTTTTTCAGCCTTCTGACTTTTTTTCTCCAGAAGTTGTTTAAATTATTAAGAAGTATTGGCTACCAAAGTTTCTTGATGGCTACTGAAGTGTTATGAACAACTTTACTACTTTCTGTAATGTTTTGTGGAAAGCTACTTTCCATTTTTAAAAATTCCTCTTAACAGCACCACCATTTGACATTAAAACCAACCAACCAATGAAACATATTCAACTAAAAAACCCCAACAACAGCAAAATTCATCCAGCTATGGGCAGTCCAAGTTGCTGAAACTTCTGCAGTGTCTCTGCCTGGCAGGGTTGAGCTGTTGGGGTCAGGAGGGAGCTCTGGGACGTCAGATTTTGATCCCAGAGATCCTTCTGAAAGGTTTTTCCTGGGAATTTGACACTGCCCTTACCTTACTGCAAGTGTTTATGTTAGGATTAGTTTAATGGATCTCAGGACTGACCCAGTTTGTTGCCAGAGGTGAGGAAAAAGCAAGCAGACTGGCTTCAACCCCTCAGGCACAGGAGTCAGATGAGGGGAACTGAGCATCTTGGTTCTGGGTGGAGGCTTGGCCACAGCAGCAGGGTCTGTGGAGCTGCTCTCCCTGCCTTGACCAATGCTGGCACCTCTGTCCTCTGGATTTGAGCCCGGGGCAAACCAGTGTGTTACAGAATGATCACTGTTAGATTTGGTGTCTCTGTTTTAGGGCCAGCAAGAAAATGAGATATAGTTCAGTTGGTGCTGAACATTATTGGCACAGTGCTAATAATGCCAAGGTTGTGGGTTTGATCCACATTGGGCCACTGTCTTTAGGAGCTGGAGTCCATGATGTTCTGGGTCCCTTCCAACTCAGACTGTTCTGTAAATTCTTTAAAACTTGAGCAGTGGCCCAGATGGCTGGGTGCTCATCTGCTTTACTCAGTAGTTACACCAACATGGATTTTGGCACAAAGTAGGCAGTCAACAACAGGAGGGAGCACTCCCAGCAAACTGTCTCCATGTGATCACAACCTTATAAAGACTCTTTTATCCACTGTCCTGATCCTGGTGCAGAACTTTAACTGGAGCTGCCATCAGCTTGGTCTGCATTTTGATGTTTGTACCATGGTAGTGCTGAGCACTGGTGCCCACACTGCCTGGCCTTGCATGGTGGGTACAAAATTAAGAGAGAAATTAAAGGCTGGGGCTGAATCAGGGCTGGGGGAAAGCCTGCAGGGATGTGGGTCTGACACCTGACAGCTTGTGCTGTCACCCATCTTGTCACCCTGCCCTTGTCCTTCCTCACCTACATCCCACTGTCGAGTGTCAGCTGCACTCTTTGACCTCCTGGAAAACCATAAACCAATTTCTTAGGAGTCCTTGTGTTTTCTGTGCCACTGGGCATGGATTGGCAAGGGGGCTTAGCAGGTGTGTGCTGCTTGAGAGAGCATTTACAACCCACAGCATCAGCTCCAGTTGCCTGCTGGTGCTATTTAAGGTTGGGTGTTTTCAGAAGTTGCAGTAAATATTGAGGAAATCCCTGCCCTGAGTTCCTGAACCCAGCTGGTGGCACAGCTGCTGGGGCAGGAGCTGCCTGTTTTGGTTTTGCTTTTCTTCCTTTGCTTAGTACCACACTGCTAAATTAACAATAACCTGCTGCTTTCTGTGCTCAGTTTCATGGGTGTCTCCTCTGTTGGAAACTGGAGGACATTACCCATGCTGTGCCAAGGGATGTCTTCCATCAGCAGGTGATATTCCAGTCCACCATGTATCATAGCAAAACAACCTGAGCTGCAGCACTACCTCCTTTCTCTACAGATTTCAGCAATCCTCACTCTGATGAGGGATTTCAGAATTAAAGCAAGTCTTGGTCCACAGGTTGCCTTCATGGTTACTGGAAGTACCACCAGAGCAGTTTAAAAGAGCCCTGAGCCCATGTCTTTTCTTGGCTGATCTGTTTAAGGGAGACGGGATAAAGCAGTCAGCTACTTGACAAGCATCTTAAATCAGATTGTCATGAGATCTCAGAGTAAACAATCTCAAGGAGCTAACAAAACTGGCTGTTTCAGGCAATTCCCACACCCGTGAGTCAGACCTCCCAGACACTGGCATTTACTTATTTGTGGCCTCATGGACCCACTAATTTATTTCCTTGGTAAGTCTCTCGTGCCAGACATGCTCAGATGCTGCCTCAGATCCTTGCTCTGTAGTGCAACACAGCAGAGGGGAGTTTCTGGACATTAAACAAGGACACATGGTTTAAGCAGTTGATAAAGACCTAAATGAGAAGCCATATTAAAGAGAGAACAATAATTAGACTGCTAATTATGTTTTTTCTTCTCTTAGGTATTGCTTTAGGCCAGACAGTCAGCACTGAGGTCTCCATCACATCAACCCCAGCACCTCCCAGTGCAACCAGCACTGAGGTCCCAATTGCATCCACCCCAGCACCTCCCAGTACAACCAACACTGAGGTCCCAGTTGCATCCACCCCAGCACCTCCCAGTGCAACCAGCACTGAGGTTCCCATTGCATCCACCCCAGCACCTCCCAGTGCAGCCCCTGCTACGGCCTCTGCTCCCCCAGCTGCTCCTGCAACGCTCTCAGCTGCACTGACACCAACCACTGCAAGCCCTGCTGCACCCACAGCAACTCCATCTGCTGATCCAAGCACAACAACCCCTGCCCAGACTCTGCCCTCCAGCATGGGGACTGTCCCCACCTCTGGCAGCAGGGCCACCTCTCCAGCACCTTCAGCACTGACAGCCACACCCAGCAGTGCTCCAGCGTCCCCTCCAGGGGTGACCACATCCCCTGGGCTCCCATCATCAGCTCTGCCCCCCAGCACCCCCCAGCCCTCCAACTGCAGCAGAGTGAATGTGACAGCCTGTGTCCCCTGCCCCCCAGGGACTGTCCCTACCCAAGGTAAGGTCCCTGCTCCTGGCTGCTGTGTTAGAGGAAATGGGATTTGTCAGGGCAGGTGAAGCCAGCACTTGTTCTTGTGTTGGAAGCTTGGACAGGCAGCAGGAAAGGGACTTAATTCATTTCACCCTCCTGAAATCAGAGGCTTGGTCTTCCCTGGCCTTGTGCTGTGTTTTGGTCTTTCTGAGGCTTCCTCAGTGTGGTGACAAAGTAGTCGGATTGTGGCACAAAGTGTAACATGAGTCCAGTTTGATTTATTGGCAGAATGTAATTTTGGGCTCCAGAGCCAAATACAAGGTCAATTTCCAGCTGTCTGGAATGTTTGAAAGAGAATATCTGCTACAGACACAGCCTTTTTCCATGGCCTTGAGAAGATCCTTGATCAACCTCTGTTGTGGTCAGCAGTGCATAATATAACCTTTCCCAGAAGTTATTTGTTGTAACATGGTCGGTTCTGATTTCAAATACCACCACCCCATCCTACAAAAAAAAAAAAATTCTCAAAAAGAGAAAGTTATTCTCCGTTCTCCAAAATACAAGCCATGTACTTTTTGCTTATTCCCTGCCCTGCAGGGCACTTTTTAAAAGCAGCTCTGATGCTTTGGGGTGGATCTGCAGAGGACAGGGGTTATCTCCCACCTCCCTTTTATGCAGGATCTTCTTTGACAGGGCCTTTTCCTTTTGCCTGTGTTGGTGGTGCAGCTGCAGTAAATCTACCCAGTTCCTCTGCGTGGCTGGGATTGGTTTTGTGGAGAAGAGAGGGGTAGAACTTGCCTGCTGGGAATGCCATGGTACCCATCCTCAAAGAAAAGCTGTTGCTGCTTAAGGCAGATCCTCGACTCTGGGGCTTTACTCATCAGTTCTGCTTCCTACAAGCTTAAATTATCAGTAATCTAAAGAAGTATATTGGTTTCTTTTTCGTGTGTGTCTTTTTTTGTATGTTGGAGGGAAAACAAGAAAAATTTTCCTGGCCCCTCAAATTAAAGAAGGAAAAAGCAGTCAGCTTCATTACTGGAGATCCACACTGATAGCCTTGACTTCTTAGATCACCTTGTGGCTGTTCTGCAGCTTGCTAACAGCGGACAGCAGCATAATTAGCATGAACGTTGCAGTTTCTACCCTCCATGAGTGCCTTGCTAGGGGAACTGCAAGGCGCTCCCAGAGTTTCTGCCTTTGTGGCAGTGACAGCGGTTTGTGACAGACACAGCGGTTTCAGCCAAGTCTTGCAATCCTGATCCTGACTTTCTGTCCCGATTTAGGCACCTTGAGCTGCTCGTGCTGCGCGGGGGGCGCGTGCATCGGCCCCGGTGCCTGCAGCCCCTGCCCTCCAGGCCACTACCAGCCCCAAGGTGGGCAACCATCCTGCCTGCCCTGCCCACAGGGCTCCTACACCAGGTGAGTGACTGAGCCCCTAGCATGGGGACTGGGTGATAAAACCACAAAACACTTCCCAGACAGAAAAATCTCTTCCTTTGGGCTGTAGGAAAAGTGCTGCCAGGGCTGTTTCTCAGAGGCTAAATTCTCCTCATCAGGAAAGCTGGTGTGGATATGGTTGTGCTGAGGGCTGCCCCTCTGTGGGCTTCTCTTTTTTACCCTCATGCATTTTGTCTGCACTGAGGGAACATGTTGTTTTATTGTGGGGAGACACTTGGTAGTGAGGTGTGGGTTCATCTCCTCAGCTTTTCTCTAGGATATGTCTGACAAACAGGCTCCATCTCCCTACTTTGCCCAATTACTTTCTCAATCCCTGTTTTCTTGCTCCCAAGGCATCTCATTACATTTGAGTTGCTGGCATTTAAAGCAATAGTCTCAGCTGACAGAGTGTGGAAAAGCAGACAAGACAACCCAACCAGGAGCCCAGTCTTGCAATTCCAGCAGGCTGCCCAATCCAGGGATGCTGTACAAGTGTCCTCTGGCTGTGGGGACTTGTGCATGTGCTGCTCTCTCCACTCCTATTGGATTTTCTCTTGCTGTATCCATGTCTGCAAGCAGTGAGCTGTGTCCTTTGTGGGTGGCAAGGACAGGAGGGGTGGCAAAAGCCTCCCAGGACTGTGTCCATTGCAGAGCAGCTCCATTTGTACCAGTCCTGGGCTGTAGGAAGGGTGACGTGACTGTGCAGTTTGTTTGCAGCAGCCCCTGAGTTTGAGGGGCCAGCAGGATCTTCCTCTGTGTTCCCCTCCGTGCTCTGCCCTTGCAGTTTGTGCTGTGAGGACCTGCCTTAAAAATGTACCCCCAAATTGCTTTAAAAACCAGCCAGGAGCAGTCTCCAGGGCACACAGAGCTGCTGCTCTGGGCATGTGGGAGAGGGGCAGGGGCCAGAGAGGGTCAGGCAGCAGGGCTGGGCTGGTGGGTGCCAGAGCAGGGACCAAAAGTGGGGGATCTGGAGGGGACCTTGGGGTGCAGTGTGTGCATGGCCATCTCCTGGTGGCTGCCTGGGCCTCAGGGCTTCCATGGGACCATTTAACATTTCTGTGGTGTTTGGAGAATTTGGCCTCCTTGCAGCTTTGAGAGGCTCAGGCTGGCCCAGGCCCTGCGTTGGTTTGTTTTCAGCAAAGCATTTGCTATGTTTCCAGTTGGTTTGGGGGGTTTTGGGTTGTTTTTTTGGGGTGTTCTTGTTAGTTTGTTTGTTTGTTTGTTTTTGGTGGTTTTTTTTTTGGTTGGTTGGTTTTGGGTTTTTTCCTGCAAATCTCATTGCAGCCCTGCAGTTTCTGAAGGAATTAAAGAGCATGTCCTTGTTTTCCTCCAAAGCATCTCTGAGTATATTATCAAATTCCTTTGATAAGGAATTGAGGGGGATTTGGCTCTGTTAGTGATGAATGTAAGAGCTTCCTCTTTCCCTGCCTTTGCCTCACTCATTTTCTCCCCCTCCTCCTGGAGGTCTGACATATTGGCTCCCTTTTCCCACAGTCCCTGCTATTTAAGGTCAGGGCTCTCACAGGTCACTGCCTGTGGTTTATGTCCTTTTTCTGGCTCCTTTTGAAATCCCTGAGGGATGCTGAACAGCAAACACCTTCCCTATTCCATTTGCAAGAGTGGATTTAAGAGTCTTGACTTAAGCAAAGGGTTTTAAGTCTGACCACAGCATATTCTTAAAGACCTTCAATTCAGATGGTCCCTTTCCATATTGCCCACAGGCACAGCACATCTCTAATGTTAATAATACAGAAAACTTCAGTTTTTTAGTGGACCTTTAAAATTCAGATGAGTTCAAACCAATGTTTTTCTGCCTGAGCTCCTTTTTCATAATTTCTCTATTTCTAGAGTAGTCAGTGTCATGTTCTGCTCTCTCTTCTCCAAGTGGACGGAGGATTGGGTGACCTAAAATTGTGTCCCACTCTGCTCTCTTCCCTCCCAGCTTCCCAAGGAGCACTGTGTGTCTTTCCTGCCCACCAGGACATTTTGCTAATGAGTCTGGGGCTGCAGCCTGCAGAGCCTGTGAGCGAGGTAGGCTTTGGTCTGTGTTCAACCCAAATGCATTTTCATCACATGATGCTTTTTCCCAGGGGCAGATGCAATTACCAGGTAACTTAAAAGCACTGAAGGGTAAACAGGCTAAAAATAGCCCAGCAGATCTCTTCCCTATTCTGTTGTCATTAAAATGAAAAGAGCAGATCTCAGCCATGCTTGTTTTTGCAACAAGTTAATGCTAACTCTGCAATGATAGTCAGGAAAAAACTTTTATGAAATTCCATTTTAGCACAATGGGGGAGGCTTGTCAGGAAACAAAATATTCTCCATTTCTGATAGCAAAACTGGGTTGAAACCATTTTTGTTTTCATTTAGGCAATCTTCTGCAGTCTGAATATTAAGTGTAATACTCTCCTTATTTTCCACACATTAAAACTGGGGTTTTAAAAAGGAGCTGCTTTGCACCTGCTAATGCCACTCCAGCCTAGTACAATGTGCTTGCAGATGGGGTAACAGCCCATGTGCAGAACAGAACAGCACTTGCTTATGCAAAGCCCTAATTAACACATGCAGTGCAGCAGCTCCTCTGCACCCAAAATGGAGTCCTGCTTGAACATGCACAACTGTTCCTTTGGAAATCCACCCACCGAGCTGCTGAGCTGTACCTGAACCTTGAGTTTAGGAGGAACAAAACCTGACTGGTGACAGCAATGGGGTCTGCCCCTCCCTTTACTCAGCAGATTTAAACACTGTGTTAGACAACAGGGGCATCTGTGGGGTTGGCCCCTAAATCCTGCAGGTGTAAATGTAAAAAGTTCCTTTTTCCTTGCAGGGAGAGGGGAGGTGTGTTTGGTTTCATCCTGCTGTGCCACAGCTTCTGCTGCCTGGTGCAAATCCAGGTTTGAGGCAGATCTTAACCCACACCACGTCCAGCTCCTCTCTGAACCTTAACTCTGTCCCATGTGGGCACTGACCACGTTGTGCATCATCAGGCACCTCCAAACCCTCCTGAATTCCCAAGTGCTGCTCTCTCAGCTTTCCTGTTGTGTGGTGGGACTCACAAGCTGGGTGCTGCTGGCCCCTGGGCACTTTGGGGCACTTCACTCCTTTTTGTGCTTTGGGAAGGGTCTGTACATGTCCTCCTGCCCATCCTGGTCCTCGTGGTGCAGGGAGGGAGGCTCTGCACCAGCAGAGCCATCTTGGCAGGTGGGTCTTGTGTCCTTCCTTCTGCAGGGAAGAAGATGCATCCCAGACTTCCTGGGGCAGGCCTGGAAGGGCTGGGGTGACCAGAGAGGTTCCCCCGGCCAGAGACCTGCTCCATCCAGCTGAATAACTTGGGAGTTGGCACTGGAAACACCTGTTCCAGCTTCATTCCAGTTCAGCCTGTGGTGCTGGGGAGGGTGACAGGTTTCTCTGTCTCCTTGGCGTGGTTGTGAGTGATGTGAGATGTGAGATTCACCAGGGGAATCTGCCAGAGCCCTCCAGGCATCCCTCAACATGGCAGAGAGCAGCAGGGAATTTCCATTGCTCTTTCAGAGCTTTTGACAAATATATAACCCCAAATGCCCTGAAATGCCACCTGAAGCCTGTTGTGGGGAGTTGTTTGGCTGCTTGTAAAATGGACATGAGCACATTCACAACGATGTGGGGCAGAGGTGTGGAGACAGGATCCTGAAGCCTTATTCTTCTCTTTTTCAGGATATTTTAGCTCCAAGCAAAATGCAGCTTTTTGTCAGCCTTGCCAGCCAGGATCATTTTGCAAGTAAGGAGCCGCCTGGGGTGCAGGAGCTCAGATGGAAAGGGAGGGGAGGTTTCCTTTTAGCCACTGAGCTGGAACCACCAGTGTAGTGCCCAAAGAGAAGTCACCTGCCACTTCAGCTGTAGGATGGGGCTTTGAGCAACCCGGTCAAGTGTCCCTGACCATGGCACAGGGGTTGGGGTGGGATGATCTTTAAGGTCCTTTCCAACCAGACCGTTCTGTGGTTCTGTGTGAGAAACTGCACTGGAGACAGACAGACAGACAAACAGCAGAGGTTCCTGGAGACTGGCTTTGGTGGGCTGGGCTGGTCTTGGAAGTGCTCATCCTACAGCGTGTCCTGCCTCCTCTCCCCTGCCAGCACCACCAGCTGCTCGGCCTGTCTGTCCTGCCCCGGGGGACAGGAGGCTCCTCGGGAGGCATCGGAGGGGTGCGAGTCCTGCCCACCAGGTGAGAGGGGAGGCTGTGCCCGAGGAGAGGCTGTGCCTGAGGGGTGGCTGTGCCCGAGGGGAGGCTGTGCCCGAGGGGAGGCTGTGCCCGAGGGCAGGCTGTGCCTGAGGGGTGGCTGTGCCCGAGGGCAGGCTGTACCTGAGGGCAGGCTGTGCCCGAGGGCAGGCTGTGCCTGAGGAGAGGCTGTGCCCGAGGGTAGGCTGTGCCCGGCTGGGAGGCTGTGCCCGAGGGTAGGCTGTGCCCGAGGGCAGGCTGTGCCTGAGGAGAGGCTGTGCCTGAGGAGAGGCTGTGCCCGAGGGCAGGCTGTGCCCGAGGGCAGGCTGTGCCTGAGGAGAGGCTGTGCCTGAGGAGAGGCTGTGTCCCAGTGGAAGCTGTGCCCGGTGACAGGCTGTGCCCGGCTGGCAGGCTGTGCCTGAGGGGTGGCTGTGCCCTAGGAGAGGCTGTGCCCGGCTGGCAGACTGTGCCCGAGGGCAGGCTGTGTCCCAGGGGAAGCTGTGCCCGAGGAGAGGCTGTGCCCGGCTGGGAGCACAGCTCCAGCTGCAGCCTCTTATTCTAGACCCATCTCAGCTGACCCTGCAGGTGCCCTGCAGGCAGAGCTGGGCCCTGGCTGTGAGGGATAGTGCCGCTGGTTTGACTGGGTGCTGGTGGAGGCTGTGCCTGTGCCAGGCTGGTTAATGCCTTGGAGGTGTGCTGGTCCCTGGCACGCCCGGGAGCCCAAATCCACAGCTGGGTAACAAAACAGTTCCAGCAAAAAGCATCTTTGCCGGTGGTGGTGACTTTGCTGAGGAAAGCCCAGCCTTGCGGTCAGAGATGGGTGTTCTGCAGGGGCAGCCTGGGAGGAAGAGAGGAGATGTGAGGGACACGGGGAGGGGATGTGAGGGACACGGCCGTGCTCCCTCCTGTGCTGCTGAAACACCGCCAGGCTGCCGCAGGTGCCAGCAGGGCAGGGCAGGGCACTCCTCCCATGGCAGGGGCCAGCCTCCGGTCTGGACACAGCCCCAGGGTGTCTCACAGCCAAGCTGCATCTTAAACATGCAGGAAAGCGTTTTACCACTGTGAGATTTGGAACTGCTGTGACCTGTCTCTCCTACAAAGCTTGGGAAACTGAGCCTGTGCTTTGAAGTCTGCTCAGCAAGTTTCAAACAACTGGAAAAGGTGTTTGAATCCAGAATTGGAGAGGATGAAACACTGCTGACCTCCAGCTCCCATCTTCCCTACATTAAAGGCAGAACTCACTGCTAAACCCCTCTCCTGTACTCCTACGCACACTACTCTGTTTGCCGAGGTCTGACCCCAAATACTCTTTAGTCCCTCTGTCCCTGTTTGTTCTGTTCTGACCCTTTGCCACCGAACCAGGACCAAAGTTCAGCTCAGCTTTTGTTATGCACATGAGCACTTAATGCTCTTTCTCCCCGCGGCTTTGAAAGCTGATTCATCCATATGCAATTGCAAAGGTCCTGGGGTTTAGTCTCAAATCTTAATATTGTGCTTATTTGCTGTTTAGGTACATTCAAAGGTCCCAGTGACAACAGATGCAAGGCCTGCAGCACAGGAGAGTACCAACTACAGCGGGGCAAGGAGAGCTGTGACCTGTGCCCAGAAAACCACTACTGCCCTGTGAGTGCCAGCAGCTGGGGACAGCCTGTGCCAGGCAGAGCTGTCCCACCACAAGCTAAATACACTTCAGTTAACACTTTCTTTTTTCTTGTAATCTGAGCTTCCTTTCTCTTAAACATAGGGCTCTGATGGAGGGAGATGATTAAAATTAAGACTCCAGGAGTGTGGCTTTGTGCCTGGAGCTGCCTGCTCTGACTGGGCCACAAGGGGATGGTGTGTGCATTAATGAGGGGGTTTGGGGTACAGACTTGCTGTGTAACAACACCTTCTGCTCTTCCCCACACTCCAACACTGCACGGCAGATGAGGCTGAATTTAATGATGGCACGCTCATTCCTTTGTTTATTTTTTCCCCCTAATGCTAAAACGTCACCTCCCTTTGCCCTGGTTACCTTTTGCAGTTTGCTGGTGCTGAGTTACTTCTTCTCTTGGGCAGAGCCCAGATGTGAACCCAGTGAAGTGCCCTCCTGATGCCTTCTGCCCCCGGGGCAGCGTGGAGCCCACCTACTGCATGGAGCTCTTCCTGTACAAGGCAGGGGACTCCTGCCAGCTGACCCCTGCCACGGTCATTGTCCTGGCCACCTTCTCAGCAGGTCAGTCTGGGTCCTCTCTGTCCTCTGGTGAAACCCCTCTGCAGCTCTGTTAAACCGAGCATTCCCTGGGTGGTGTGTTCTGTGTTTCTGGAAAGCTGGATTTCTAATGAAAGTCCTTCTGGCTGCTTTCAGTGCCAGTGACAGTCCTGTCCCTTGCTCTGAAGGAAGGTGGCACAGTGCTGAATGCTTGCTGTTTGTCCCTGGGAAGCAGGGATGTGTATGGACCCTCAAACAGGGATTTCTTGGCTGCGCCAAAGCAGGAAAAAGTACAATTTCCTTTTGGTATGAGACTTGGTTTCCTGAAAGCATTCCTGCCTTAAGTCATGCCACAGCATCCAGCAGAATGGGGAGCTGCTGGCCCATACAGTGTTGGTTGCATTGATGCCAAATGTTCCTTGTATCCATGAGTCAGGACCTGCTGAGTGTCTGGAGCATCCCTCCAGAAGCCACCTGCTGTGAATTAGCTCACTAGGGCAAGCTAATGAGTGGATGAGCTTTTCAACTGGGAAGCTGCACCAGGAATAATCATTCCAAAACAATGAATATGCATTTTTAGTCTTAGGGAAAAATAAAGTTCTCTTGGTTTTAATCAAAGTTTGGGGAGGTTTAATCAGAGTTATGATGAAAATGAGCAACTATTAGTGCTCTGGATTGCAAGAAGGGCAGATGAGGAAGCTGGGAGGAGGAATCTGTCTCCTGTGCCCAGAGAGATGAAGAGAAATCTCTAAGTGCCACTTACAGTACCAGAGATGAAAATCTTGTGTCAAGAGAGCCAAGTCATAGAGATGAGTAAACCACCAGAGGATAAAGAATATCCAACAAGCCTCATATTCACAGCTTCTTTGTTTCAGGTGTATTTTATGTGCTTCCTGAAGGCCCATTCTCCACTTGGCTGGCTGTTGTTAAAAGGAGAGAGAGAGGAGAGATTCAATGTGTGTGTTGCAAGACACACAGCAAAGCTGCTTCTCCAACAAGAAAGCAGTGTTCTCATCACACTTGGCAGCTGAGGAGGGGACAAGGACAGCAGGGTCTGCAGGAGCTCCAGCAGCACCCTCTGAGTGCTGGAGTGCCTGGGGGGAGCAGATGAGTGTTGTTCTCACAAGCTGTGGCTTGGAGCCATGAGAAAGGTCCTCCACTGACCTCTATCCCCTCATGCCAGGCTGTTGTCCAAAAATCTGCCAAAGCAGATGCCATCTGAAGCGAGTATTAATTTGAAAAAGTAGATTAAACTGAAGTACATGAAAAGACTGCCCAGAGAGGGACAATGGCCCATTAACCAGCATTTGTGATAAACAAGTCCCAGGGTCAGGGAACAGCATTCCTGCCTCTCCCAGAGCTTGCTGCAGAGAGGGGGAAAGGAAACAGCCTGCGCAGGAACCCGCGAGTTATTCACGGATGGTCTCACAAATCAAGTGTTTACCATGAGGCTGTCTGCTCACACAACTGAAATTTGGGTGTATTGTCTGGCCATATTGCATCACAGAGACAGATTTGGGCTCTGCTGTTCAGATCCATTTTCTCTGATGATGCTTCTGCCAGAAAAAAAACGAACAGAATGTCACACTACTTGAGATTTGCCAATTACTTCCATGTCTATGCCCAATCCAAAAGTAATTTTTCCTGACAGCCCTGATCTCAGTCTAGACTTAGAGTTAATCTAGCTTAGTTACTTCTTGTGCTTCAGTGTGAGTGGTGCAGAGCAAACTAATTTCTCAACAAGATCCTTTTGGTGGGGTCTGCAGTGAGTAAGATGCCAAGTAGAAAACAGTTCCAGAGAGTAAATGGGAGTAGGAAAGCAAGTTACTGAATTATTTTGTCAAAACTTGTCGTTATTCCTTGCAGAGTTAAGCTGAACTGCTGAAGCTGAGTGTTATTCTTGTTAGTGGAACCTTTTTCCCCCCCTCTTTTTGGAGAGGGACAGAATATGTGGGAGGAAAAAAACCCCTTATTTTACCAGAAGAGAACTCCTGAGTTGAGAAGCTTTGGAGCAAACTTCACCTGACACTTTACCTTCCCATCTGTGAATAACTACCATTCCTTTCTTTCCAGGTGGGATCCTTGTTCTCTTTCTAATAATCCTGAGAAGGCGGCAGGAGCACGGCAAGAACTCCCTGAAGTGGCTGTTGCTGCCCCGGGGCTCAGGGCCCGCCTCCTACGGGGGCACGGAGCACACGGAGCCCGTCTATGCTGGCTGGTAGCCCTGGCCGTGGCCAGCAGCCTCTCCTTCCCCTGGGGCAACGCAGATGTGGCTCTGGGCAAGGTGTTTAACCATCAGCAACCTACTTCTGCATAGCTGAAATCAGTGCTGGGGAATAAAAGTCAGTTTTTGAGTTGTGGCTACTTGTGCAAACCAACCCAGCTCCCTGCTCTGCTGCACTGGGCTGATGGGAAAAGTCTTCTTCCAATTGCTGGCTTCCTTCACAAGTAAATACTTTTCTCCTTTCATCAGGGGGAAAAAAGCCCCAAACAGCAATCAATCCTGTTTCTCCATTTTAATAGTCAGCTCAACAGAGTGAGGAGTGACTGCTCCAGTTATTGAGGTCCCTTTGATACAACACTAATTTTTCACCCAAGCACAAACTAACATGAATATACCTCCTTTTAATAATATGCATTTTTTTATTTTGTTTCCCATTCTCAAAATTTTAGCATAAGCACAAGTCAAAGATCCTAAAACTCTCCCCTTCCTTTCAGCTGTGGGCAAATGTGCAACTGAAGTAATGGTTGATTCCTGGAAAAATGTCCCTTTTATTTCCTGCTGCCAGGTGGTGCTTCAGAGTGGAGCTCCAAAGGAGCAGCATGGTGCAGGCACAGAAGATGCCTTGCCCATTTCTGCATGCTGAGGAGAGGGGCTGTAGGAGACCCACTGCCCAAATACCTGGGCAAAGTTCTGTCCCTGATCCTGGTTTGCTGTGGCACTCCAAGCCCTCTTCTGTGCACCCAGCCCAGTTTAACTATCTGGTTAAACTAATGTGATTTGTATTTTCCAGAGATGATTCCTGTGTGTGGCTGGTTGACTCTTTAACTTGTTGCTTGCTCTGTGTCCCCTATTATGTTTTTCCCTGGGAAATGCTTAGCCAGCATCCCAGGCAAGTCAGAAATGCCCAGAAAAAAATTCAACATCACCTGTACTGGAGCCAGTGTCAACTGCTCCATGAAACCAGTACCTTTGGCCTTTTAACCTTCCCACCTTGTTTTCCTTTTCCTCCTACAGTGACATTCCCACACAGGTGCTGTGTAAACCCAGCCCAGCCAGCTGTGACCCCTGTGTGTCAGTGCTGTGCTTCACCAGCTCTCAATGGCCAGTAAAAACAGTATCTTTGTCACAAGTTCCACAGTTTTAAATGGCTCTGCACAGAGGTGGTAGCAGGTGTTACTTCTCACTTAATCTTGCAGCAGCAGAGATGGCCGAAGGAACCCAGCTGTGGGGGGTTAAGTGGTTCCTGCCCTCAACTGCTCCTTCTCCTCTCCCCAGGGAAGGTGTTAGAAGTGTTTAAAAGAGTTTATAAAATGTATCAGTTCTCTGATCTGTCTCAACTCTGTCAGGTGAGTAACTGGGTGCAAGAGTTGTACATCAGCCATTGTGGGCAGACAGGATGCCAGAGAAGCTGTGGCTGCCTCATCCCTGGCAGTGTTCAAGGCCAGGCTGGATGGGGCTTGGGGCAGCCTGGTCTGGAGGGAAGGTGTCCCTGTCCATGGCAGGGGGTGGAAGAGGAAAGTCTTTAAGGTCCCTTCCACCCCAAACCATTCTGTGATTCTGTTCTGGATCAGCAGCAAGGGATGGTTCCTACAGCCCAGCACGGGCAGAGCTCCATGCAGCCACTCCCACTGCTGGTTTAGGAGACATGGAGCTTCTCTCTGGCTCAAGGCTATGCTTTTCCTCAGAGCAGCAGAGGGACACAATCCTGATGCACAGCACCAGGTGACCTCAGCAGAACTATCAGCCAGCATCAAAGCAGATCTCTGGAATGCTTTTTTAAAAATTGTAGCTACAGTCACACATGGGAGACTCCACAGGTGAAGCCAAACCAGACCCAAAAAAACCTGTCTGAAAAAGCTGAAGAGTCAAACTCAGAGCTGACCAAGCAGGACCAGCATTTGTGACAGCAGAAGGACCCCGAGGGAGCAGTGCTGGCTGGGCTGGGGAGCCCCAGCTCAGTGTCACAAAAACCTGTAAAATCATGACCAACAGAGAGCAGTACTGGAAAAAATGGACTGCAAGAAATGTCAGCAGCTCTGTGATAAGCAGCATGGGAAGACAAGCCACAGCACAATCACAATCACTGTCTTCCACCTCTGTGGAAGCATAAAAACAGTATTTCCAGGGCATCTCTTAGGAAGGCCAAGGCCTGGAGCTTTCCCTGTGAGAGAACAAAGCCCTGTTCCCTCACTGCCGAACCATGCTTGCTCAGTACGTATCAATTCCACCTTTTTCTTTCAAGAAAAAGAAAAAAAAACAGGTGTCAAATAAGTATATAGAGCTGTTTTACAAAAGAGACTTAGCAACTTCTTAAATAACTAGGAATAAAATTCAACATTTAATAAGACATTGAAATTTCTCAAGCAGTCAGACATGGAATAACGAGACTCAACAATGTGGAAAAATCCCATTAATACGTCTTTCAAGATATTTTGCTTTTCCAAGTAATTAAAATAAAAAAACCTCCTAAAACCTGACCATGAACACAAAGCTATTGAACAAAACAGACATTTACTCTGATTATTTTTCCTAGGTTGCATGAAATTACATCTAACATACTCAACTGAAAATTGTTTCCATGCTTGCTCATGTGATAAAAGAACAACAAATTCTGAAATTGGCTGTCATGTATCAGCTTTTTGCTAGAAAAGGAAAGACATTTTGCTACTTTGATGGGCAAGACACAAAGAACATCATTTAAGGCCACATAATATGCCACAGTTAATGTTGTTTAGATTAATTTATAACAGAAAATCCTTCAAGTTGCTGAATGCTAAAAAGTATTGAGTTGCATCATGAGAAAGCTCAAGTCTTAAGGATTGTTTTACCTTGTATTTGAACAGTGGGAGAAAGAAAACAATCTCATAACTTTTCTTCTGTCTTCTTTTTTAAACAATACGTCAGCCTGTTTCCCCAGGCTGCAGAGCAAGGTACAGAAGCCTTCATTACAATGCACCTAAGCCCCACCTGTCCTGCTACAGAAACCAACATTCTCCAGATCACCACCTGAGTGCCTGAGCTCAGCTCACAGGGTCCCATGGCCAGCGAGTACCAAAGGAGAGAGAATTTGATCCACACTCCTCCTCAGGATCAGCCTCCAGCCGTGCCCAGCAGGAGGAAGGAATTCCCAGGAACTCCCAGGTGACCTCAGCGATGCAGAGCTCCAAGGGCCCAGAGCAGCAGAGAGCAGGGAGAGGTAGAAGGAAGCAGAAGGACAAACAGCCCCTGGCTCAGATCTGTTTGTGTGAACAGGTCTCTCTGTCCCCAGGGACAGACGCAGGGGCGGCTGTCCTGCGTGCTGCTGTGCTGGATGTGCCCGTGAGCCCCAGGCGCCGTGGGCTCCGTGCCCAGCCCAGAGCCCAGGGGTGCTCTGTGCCTGGCAGCACAGACTGTGGCTTCTGGAAGGGGGCATCTGCCTCGTAGGACCTGGGGCATCACTGTTCCAGAGTGACAGAGCTATTACACATGAAGAGGAAAAAGCAACAAAACAACTTAAAAAAAAAAATTAACAAATTATGAAAGCAATGGAATGTAAAGGAAAAAATTTTATAATAACTTATTTAAAGGTATTCTTACAAAGCCTTCCTTACATGGTATAGTATTCAAAGAATGGTCCCAATGACATCAAATTCCTTCATTTTGTTTAAAAGCAATGAGGAAAATATTTCTGCTTTACTACCTGACCTCATTTTCCTTCCCTTGAAACCCAATATTAAAGAAACATCCATAATATAATTTTTTTTGGTTTTGATTTTATGCGCAGGACTGTTCTTCAGCCCCATGGCAGAGAAAAAATTTCCCCAAAAATCAATTAAAAAATCTTGAATTTTAACTCGAGTGCAAGGCTTGGCATAGCATTTTAAAAAATGCAAACATGTAACACTTCCCCTGATTTTGAACTCTGCTTTCTTCAAAATTATTTGAAAACAAAAAAATTAACCTTCCAACAGTGTTTATAAAAACCGATTCAAAAAAAAAAAACATTTTGGTCACAAAACAGAAACCAAAGTGTTCAGCATAGGGCAATGCAACATTTATAACCTCTTTCAATTAATATCTTCTAATAAAACCAAACTTTTTACATGTTGGGAATAAATGGGGGTTTTGGCAATTCCATGGACTAAATCAAATCCTGAAGAAATACCTTGGGGGGAAAAAAACCATAAACTTCCATGATACAGCAAGGCTTCATTTTCCAAAGGGCTACACAGAGTTCCTGCACTATGAGGGGCAAACTAAGCTAGAACATACACGAATGGCTCAGTGGACATGGAGGTGCTTATGGAGGGAGGGTCACAATGGCAAAAACCAAAATGTGCTTGGAACGCTGCCTGATCACACACCAAAGATGTGCACTGGGAAGAAAACTGGCAGAGATGTTTTTCTTTACTGTTTTTTCCTAGTTCTAGTATTATTTCTGTCAATACTAAGTGTTGTATGTTCACCTCACTGTGAGTTAGTGAGGACCTTGTGCTAATGGGGGCCAGGAATTCAAAACAGTTGTGCTGACACAGCACAGTGGTGACAGGATAGTCAAGAGCAGAGCTCCTAAAAATGTAACAAAAAAAAATCAGTCTGTCAAGTAGCCAGTTTTATACAAACTTTATGCAAAGGAACAGAGTAAGGCTAAATTTCACATCAAAATTCTTACATGCTCCTTCAAAAATCCATTTCACTTTTACTTGTTTTGAATTTACTTTTTGCACTTCAATCAAGTTTCACATTCTCTTTCATTCATGGGGTGGTTTTGCTCCTTGCATTATCACAAAGTTGAAATGCTTGGACTCCAAGCATTCCAAAGAAAAGTTTGCTTCTGCATTTTACCTGCCATTGAGGAAAAAAAAAAAAAAAACCCAAACAAGTAATTTTTTCCAAGTAATAGCTTTTGAAAGATTTCTTTTAATTAAGACACAAAAATCCTAAAGTATTGGGCCTAGATTGCAAGACAATATCCCTTTAAGTTCAGACCTGTACAACTCTGCAAGATCAAATAACTGAAATTTTGCTGGGATGAAATACAGGAAAAAACAGTATAGAAAAAAATCTCTTAAAAAGATTCCTCCTCTCTGGTACAGGGTGTGCCTTTCCCACCACACACCACATTTCTTGGTGGAAGGATATTTATGATCATGATTGCTTAAGAATAATTTTTGAAGAGCACAAACCAATTGCTGTGTGTGTGGCTGCAGTGAGGGACACACCTGGGTCATGGCTGGCATTCAAGCACTTGCTCAAAAACACACAAGGCAAGCAAATCTCATTGGGACCACAGACCAAGCCATTTCTTACTCAAAAGGACTTGAGAACTAACAACTTCTTTCAAGGATATACTATTTTAAACATCTGTTGGTTGACAAATACTATCTCA